GATCTATGTGTCCATATTTATGTCAGTACCCTACTCTTTTAATTACTACTGCTTTGTAACGTAACTTGAAATCTGGGCTGTGGTAATTCCAGCTTTGTTTTTATTTTCAAGATTGTTTTGGCTGTTCAAGGTTGTGGCTCCATACAAATTTTAGGATGGTCTTTTCTAGTTCTGTGAAAAATGCTGTTGGTATTTTGATAGGAATTACACTAAATGTATAAATTGCTTTGGGTAGTGTAGACCTTTTTTAAAAATATTTTTTATTTATTTTATTTTATTTTATTTTATTTATTTGAGAGAGATAGACATAGTGAAAGAGAGCACCAGTGGGAAGGAGAGGGAGAAGCAGGCTCCCCGCTGAGCAGGGAGCCAGATATGGGGCTCGATCCCAGGACCCCAGGATCATGACCTGAGCCAAAGGCAGCCGCCTAACTGGCTGAGCCACCCAGGCACCCCAGTATAGACCCTTTAACAATATTTGTTCTTCCAATCCATGAGCATGGAATGTCTTTCCATTTCTTTGTGTCATCTGGAATTTCTTTCATTGGTGTTTTATAGTTTTCAGAGTACAGGTCTTTCACCTCTTTAGTTTATTCCTAGGTATTTTTTTGGCTTTGGTGCAATCGTAAGTGCGACTGTTTTCTTGATTTCACTTTTTGCTGCTTCATTACTAGTGTATAGGAATGCAACAGATTTCTGTACATTGACTTTGTATCCTGCAACTTTACTGAATTCATTTATCAGTTCCAATAGATTTTTGGTGGAGTCTTTAGGGTTTTCTATATATAGTATCATGTAACCTGCAAACGAGAGTTTTACTTCTTCCTTACCAATTTGGACGCCTTTTTTCTTTATGTTGTCTAATTACTATATCTAGAACTTCCAGTACTATATTGAACAAAAATGTTTGAAAGTGGACATCCTTAACTTGTTCCTGACCTTAGAGGAAAAGCTCTCAGTTTTTCCCTATTGAGTGTGCTGTTGGCTGTGGGTTTTTCATACAAGGCTTTATCAAGTTGAGCTCTATTCCTTCCAGACCTACTTTGCAGAGGGTTTATATCATGAATGGATGTTGTACTTTGTCAAATGCTTTTTCTGCATCTACTGAAATGACCATATGGTTTTTATTCTTTCTCTTATTGATGTGACATATTGTTTTGTGAATATTGAACCACCCTTGTATCCTGGGAATAAATCCCACTTGGTCATGGTGTATGGTTTTTTTTAATGTATTGTTGAACTCGGTTTGCTAATATTTTGTTAAGGATATTTGCATCTATATCCATAAGAGATATTGGTCTGTAGTTCTCTTTTTTTAAAAAAAGATTATTTGAGAGAGAGAGAGAACATGAGCAGGGGGAGAGACAGAGGGTGAGGAAGAGAGAATCCTCAAGAAGACTCCCCATTGAGCACGGAGCCCATCATGGGGCATGATCCCAGGATCCTGAGATCATGAACCTGAGCTGAAATCAAAAGTCTGGCGCTTAACAGACTGAGCCACCCAGGTGCTTCTGTAGTTCTCTTTTTTTTGTGTTGTCTTTATCTGGTTTTGGTATCAGGGTGATACTGGCCTCATAGAATGAATATGGAAGTTTGCCTTCCTCTTGTATTTTTTGGAATAGTTTGAGAATAGGTATTAACTCTTCTTTAAATGTTTGGTAGAATTTGCTGTGAAGCCATCTGGTCCTGGACTTTTGTTTTTTGGGAGTTTTTTGATTACTGGTTCAATTTCATTTCTGGTAATTGGTCTGTTAAATTTTCTATTTCTTCCTGTTTTAGTTTTGATAGGCTATATGTTTCTAAGAGTTTATCCATTTTTTCTAAGTTGCCCAGTTTGTTGGCACATAGGTTTTCATAACATTCTGTTATAACTGTTTGTATTTCTGAATGTTGGTTGTTATGCCTCCTCTTTCATTAGTGATTTTGTTTATTTGGGTGCTCTCTCTCTTTTTTTTTTTGGATGAGTCTTGCTGGAAGCTTATCAATTTTGTTGATCTTCCTCTTGCTGGGTTTGGGTTTTATTTGTAAATTTGTTAAAATCACCTTGATATAACCTCATTTACCATATTTAAACTAAGATAGAGCAGGCTGGGCTAAGAAAGACTGCAACAGGTTTGACAACTATGGTTGTCAGAATTAAAGTCACACCTGCTGACAAATCCTGAGTTTCATGACAGAGTCAGATGAGGGAGTCTCATTTTTGTTTTAATATTTTATTTATTTTTATTATTTTATTTTTATTTTATTTATTTTTTTATTATCATGTTCAGTATTTATTAAGTTTAGAGAGAGAGAGAAAGCATGAGCAGGAGGGGCACAGGGAGAGGAAGAGAGAATCTCAAGCAGACTCCATGCCCAGCGTGGAGCCCAACATGAGGCTCGATCCCATGATCCCAAGATCATGACCTGAGTCAAAACCAAGAATTGGATGCTTATCTGACTATGCCATCCAGTTGCCCTGAGTTTCATTGTTTTAATGAACCATAGTATTCATTACTAACATGAAGATAAAAAATGGCAATTCCTGGAAAAGACTATGGCTAGATAATGTGACCTATGAATTAGAATAGTTTGGAATAACATTTTATAGATTAATTTTTTTTGGTTAAGACTTCATTCTATACACTTCTTACTTACATCTCTTGGAAGTCTTTCCCCAAATCTATCAGTTTAATTCTTGACTGCATTGAACTGAAACCTTTCCCCAAATCTATCAGTTCAATTTCTTGAGTAAAACGGTATAATAAATCTAATTCATTTATTTCTTAGGTGATTATGTTTAAGTAAATCTTAGTTCCAACAGAATAAAAATCAATTGCCATTGCAAAATTTTGACAGAGAATCATATTTGATAGTGAACCACTATCATAATTATCCCTTTTTATAATTGTTAAGGGAATTTAAAAATTCCCTTATAATTTTTATATTTGTTAAGCGATATGAATTTAAAAATTCATAAAAAAGACACAAATACTTTTCAATTTCATTTTCTTATAACTCAATTATAATTTTTTAACTTATTAAATCATCTGTTCAACAAATACAAATGTGCAACTACTGTGAGTAAAGCAAAATACAAGGTACTGAGTTTTAAGTGAGAAAGATTAACATGGTCTAATGATATAATGGGAAAGCGAAATCTTACATATATAGCATCTATAGATGTTATCCTGAGGCAGTGAGAAAACCACTGACAAGCTATATCCAAAAGATATACTAGCTTAGTCTCTTAAATACATCACTATAATATTAAAAAAATGGATTATAGGACACAAGAATGGATGCAGAAAATGTAGAAGCAGTTTCAGAGACAACGCCACATTCCAGTTAAGGGGAGAAAGCTTTAGACTAGGATTGTGGCAGTGGCAGACAGGGAGAAGAAAGATTTTCTATAGGAACTGGTAGTTTATTTGATATAGGAGAATAAAGATGAGGTAAGATTCAAAGATGAAACTCTGGTTTCTGGTCTGAGCAATTGAGTGGATGGTCAAGTCATTTTCTATTACAGGGAATACTGGGATAGGGGCAGGTTCTTGGGTGAACTATGATACAAGTCTTGGACTTTCTCTTGGAGGTTAAAAAATTTCCAAGTGGAGGCACTGAGAAGGTAATAATAAGAATAGTCTAGGTTGGAGTCATTAACATATAAATGGTACTTTAAGCCATAGGAAGTATGAAATAACTTACAAGGAGAGAATAATTGAGAAGAAAAGAAGCTCTGACAAGTGTCAAGTGGAAAATGAGTAATAAGCAAAGGAGTTTTTGAGAAAGAATAAATACAAAGAAGGACTCAGAGAGTACAATATCACAGAGAGTCAAAGTAAGAAAGCAAAAAATTTTAAAATGAGAAGTATGGTGAATGGAATAAGGATTGTAGAGAGATAGAGTAAAATAGAAACTGATGAATATTGGAGTGACTGGGTGGCTCAGTCCAGTAAGGGCCTGCCTTTGGCTCAGGTCATGATCCCAGCATCCTGGGATGGAGCCCCAGAAAGGATTCCCTGCTCAGTGGGGAGCCTGCTTCTCCCTCTCCCTCTGCCTGCAGCTCCTCCCGCCTACCATCAAATAAATAAATAAAATCTTTAAATAAAAAAAAGAAACTGATGAATGTCAACGGAATTTACTGACATTAAGCTCATTTGTGAACCTAATGAAAGTCATTTTGGAGAAATAATGAAAGAAGTTTGCAATTGTTGGGGCGCCTGGGTGGCTCAGTCTGCCTTCAGCTCAGGTCATGGTCCCAGGGTCCTGGGATAGAGCCCCACATCAGGCTCCCTGCTCAGCGGGAAGTCTGCCTGGTTCTCCCTCTCCCACTCCCCCTGCTTGTGTTCCCTCTCTCACTGTGTCTCTTTCTGTCAAATAAATAAATAAAACCTTAAAAAAAAAGAAGTTTGCAATTGTTTAAAGAGTTTTGGGAAGGGGAAGAAAGGGTCCAGCCAACTTACAAGAAAATTGGTTATGGGGTTATGGCAAGGAGAAAAAAGTTAAGACTATGTCTAGGAATGGAATAATTGCTGATAAAGAGACTGTTTAGCTAATAGAAGACTTTAACATGCTAGCATTCTTATAGATAATTGAATTCAGAGGGAGATGATAAGCGGAGGCAAGTGGATCTTCAATAGGAAAAGGAGTTCAAAGGGGAATATTGACTTTTGATTGATTCATGAAATTCCTGTCATAATTCAGGTGGACTTATTTTTCTCTTATAGGAGTTTCACAAATCCAAAGTCAATACTCCCCCTACAGACTTTAATGTTGTGAGCCACGATGGAGTTTTAGATTATTCATGAATAATTTTATTTGTTAAGAAGAAGCTTCAAAACAATTGTTATATATTTACTCATCATATTGTCTTTTGCAAGTTCTTTTATTTCTAATTAATCAAAGAATTTTTTGTTTCTTTTTATGTTTTCTCTAGGAAAATTCCTATCCTCTTTTATAATATCATCAGGTATATATCTGGAGCAGAATCAACCCTCTCATTTACATAAAATAAAAAAATGGCATATTGTTGGAAAACAGATCTAAATACCAGTGAATCACATCAAGAGCAGCATGAGCACCAAGAATTTCACTCTGTAAATCAGTTCCTTTTCCCTAGCCCAGTCAGCCTGGGTTTTGATCAGCTAGTAGATGAGCTCAGTAATAACATTCCGCTCTATCAGAGTGAAATTGAAGAAAACACTGTTTTTGTTCCCAGTACACCAAGCGGGGACTCAAGAACACATTCGTTAGATGAAACACACCAAATACCCTTGAATGAATTAACTTCTAAAAGCTCAGAACTCTCCTGTCACCAAGTTAGGAAAACACCAGTAATTGGCTTTAGGAGCTCTGTGCTACCAAATCCTGAAAACACGAACAAAGGAAGCTCTTGGGGAAACCCCATAGGAAAACATCATGGTGTTGATGATTACAGATTCAATATTTTAGCTTCATCATCCACTAGTTTGGATAAAATTAATTCACAGAGAAAATTAGAAAATGAAAAACATAACTACCACATAGGATTTGAAAGTAGCATCCCTTCTATATATCCATCCTTTTCAACTGACTTCATGCCAAAAGAAGAGAATAAAAGAGGCAGAAATATGGACATTGTGGAACATTCTCTGATGCCTTTTGAAGGCTCTTCTTTACCCAGGACCTGGGAAAATACATGGCTAAAGAATAGAGAGGTATGTATTATATATGTTGACTTAAAAAAAAAAAGAATCTGAAAGAATCATCCAATAATGTACTGGATTAATTTGGTAATGAGAGTCACTAATCTTAAATAGGAAAATGTATTAATATTATTTGTGAAAAAATAATTTATTATTCACAAATTCTGTGTTCCTAAATTAATGATTTTTTTTTCTGAAGAAAGAAAAAAAAATATATCATTTTTAAAGGTCCAGTTTGGTCAAAACTAAATAAAATGTTATAGTCCTTACATTTTATTGGATAAAAATGTCATAATTGGAGGTTTTGATGAAAGTACTTTTGATTCTTATTGTTATTATGTACACACAGAAACATACATATATCTCATTAGATTTATATTTTGAGTCATACTGTCATAAATTAAAACTTTATGTCATTATGGTAGGAAAAATGTCCTTTTGCCCAGAGGCTCCTAAATTATACTGTTGGCTGGCATCTTCTATTGGGATCGTTCCAAGAGTAGGAAATTAAGCAGTCATGTGCAATTCATCTTAATGGTTTCATCAGTAGTTCTCCAATCAATTTAGTCACCATAGAGTTTCTTGTATAATATTTGAATATTTCTCTGCTTACCCTGAGTCCAGACACAAGTGAAACTAGAAGTAAACAGTAAAAAAAAAAAAGAAGAAAGAAAGAAAGAAAAAAGAAAAAAACATTATTGCAGCTGCAATTTACAGGGTGAAGCAAAAGAATTCCTCATTGATTCAATAACTATCATATTCTTAAAATAAACATGATATACTAGGCATAATGAATGCAAAGAAAAGACATGATACTTGATTCAGAAATAGCATATTGTTCAAATTAACTTGTCAACAAATAATGGCAACAAAGTAAAATAACAGAATGAGTCCACAGGAGAAGAAAAACCTAATTCTGTCTGAAGCATATGCAGAGGAGGTAGCAACTCAACTGATCTGCATTAAAAGTCAATGAATTTTAGGGACATCTCTTTCTGATCAGGGCAGAATAACAAGTACTAAACTCCTGATTTCAGGCACTGAACAGAAGGCAGTATAGGACATGACCCTTGAGAGAAGGGAAACACCCCAGTGTTGTATGATCACCCTCCTTTCAGCTTAGGGGCACTTTCTTGCTAGTAGAGCAGGATAGTGGAGCCCAATTTAACCAGCATTATCACTAAGCTTGAGAAGGCAGAGCCTGCATTACAGAGCAGAGGACATTTCCAGCTATGCAATGGGTGGGAGTCAGAAATCTGCATGAGATTTACTGTAGATTTTTGGCCAAGCAAGTGTGTTCACCACACACAAGTGTAAGTTATGCAGTGCTGAAGTTCTAACCTAGCAAGAGAAGACACTGAGCTGAGTACTTCAGGCATCCAATTGAGATTACCCAAAGCTATCTCTTAAGAGTATAAAACAAATACTCTAGAGTGAATGCTGCACCTACCAAAATAGATGTGGCTTAACAAAAAGGCTGAAGAGACCAAAGGGTCTTACGGCCTGCCAGAGAAAATTATATGCATTGTAAAAAAAAAACCAACACAATTTATAAGGCGTCATGTATAATGTTGAACATATAATAATAAATACACAGATATGTAAAAAGCAAGGAATTTTGGCCCCAAATCAAGAAAATAACCCAGTCAATACAAAGAGATTCTGACACAGTCCAGATGTTGAAATTAACAGATAGAGACTTTAAGGTAGTTATAAAAAGAATGTTGAAGTAGATGAAGTAAAAGGTGGACATAATGAGTAGACCAATGAAGAATCTCAAGAGAAAGTCAGAAACTACAAAAAAAAATAAAGACTATGAAAATTCTAGTACTGAAAATATAACACCTGAAATGGAAAATTACCCAGTGATTACAGATCTAAGAATTTCAACAATTCCCAAACAGAATAAATACAAAGACAACCACATGTAAGACAAATCATAAACATTTGTGAACAAAAGGTAAAGAGAAAATCATAAAAGACAGCAGCAAGGGAAAACAGATTTCACACAGTGGAACAACAATCTGAATCAAAGCAAATTTCTATCAGAAACAATAGAAGCCAAACAATGGAATGACATTTTAAAAGATATATATCTATACCTATATAATATATAGATAATATCTATATATATATACATACATATATATACACACACACGTATATATATATACACATCTCCATACTTTTGTATCCATTGAGTATACACTTCAAAACTTAAAATGAAATAGATATATAAACAAATGTTGAGAGAAATTAGTCAGCTAACATGCACACAAAAATACTAAATAAGTGCTTTGAATGCAAGGAAAATGACACCAGATGGAATCTAGAAATGAATAAAGTGGGGTGCCTGGGTAGCCCAGTCGGTTAAGCATCTGCCTTTGGCTGAGGTCATGATCCCAGGGTCCTGGGATCAAGTCCTGCATCGGGCTACTTGCTCAGCGGGGAGCCTGCTTCTCCCTCTACCTACTCTGCCTGCCACTTCCCCTGCTTGTGCTCTCTCTCTCTGACAAATAAGTAAATAAAATCTTAAAAAAAAAAAAGAAAGAAGAAATGAACAAAGAGCAGTATAAGTGGTAAATATATTAGTAACTATGAAAACCTATTTTTGATAGCTATGTAAAGCAAAACAACAGCATTTTATTGAGAGTTATTATATATATAGATAGATGAAAAATATATGACAACAATAGCATAAAGGATGGGAGGGTAAATGTTATTTGCTATTCTGAATTCTTACATTGTAAATGCAGTAGTACAGTATTAATTCTAAGTACACTGTGATATATTAAGGATGCATATTGTTATTTCGAAGCTAAGACAGCCACTAGAAAAATAATACCGAGAGGAAAAACTAAAATTCCAACAGAGGAATTAAATGAAATGAAAAAAAATTAAATAAACCAAAAAAAAAGCAGGGAAGGAAAAATAGAAGAATAAAACAGAATAGAAACAAATAGAAACAAAAATGAGTATGGCAGTCTTAAATCCAACAATATCCATAAGTATACTAAATATAAATAGACTAAACTTTCCAAGTAAAAAGGAGAAATTGACAAACTAGATAAAAAAAGATTTAATTACTATCTATAAGAGATAAACTTAAGGCACAAATAAGTTGAAAGTAAAAAATAAAAAGATATAATATTCAATCAGCAAACAAAAAGCTGATTATTAATAGCAGAAAAAGCACAGTTCAAGGCAGAGTATTATCAGTATTTGTATTATTATCATTTCATAATGACAACAGGGTCAATCCGGAAGATACAATAAACTTAAATGTGTTATGTATCTAATAACAGCATCAATACACACAAAGCAAAAATTACTTCTTTTAAAGTTAATCATACACTCACCTTCTGACTGAGCCATTTATGGATTTATTGATAAGAAATAAAACACAGATCCACACAAATATTTGTATATGAAAATTAATAGTTTTCTTTATAAAAACTATGAACAACCCAAATGCCCATCCACAGGAAGATGGATAAACAAATTGTGAAATAGTCATCAATAGAATAGTACTAATTGGCAATAAAAAAAAATGAACTATTGATGTGTGGCAACACAGATAAATTTAAAAATATGTATCATTTGAGTGAAAAAAAACAAAGGAGAACATAGACTTAATCTATAATGTTAGCAATCTGAATAACAGTAGTTACCAAATGGATGTACAGTTTAACAGAAGGAGGTATGGGGGCACTTTCTAATGTGATGGAGATGTTCTATATTTTTATTGTGATATTGATAGCATGGTTGTCTACATTCCTCAAACTTAAATTATATATTTAAGAGTCAGACATTTTCTATACACATTATTTCACTTAAAAAAATCCCCCCAAAATAAAAATAAAAAACAGAATGAACTGAAGGGATGCAAGATGAGATGTCCCAAATTGTGCCACTTTGGTATAAAAATTATATCAAGTTAAAAGTAATAAATACCAAGCAGATGCTGAAAAACTCTCCACTTCCCCCATAACTGCTTGAATTTACCTTGGAAAGGAGAGCCTGCAACAGGAAGACAGCTAATAACAGAGACTCCCCTTTACCTAAGGAACTTACATGCATAATAGGGTAACCCTTGCTTTTCAAACATTTCCTTTCACCTTCTTGCTAATGGCTTTCCTCCCCTTTGTGTCCTCAGGCCCCTACCCCTCTCCTCACCTCACATAAATTTAGGGTTGCCTCATTGTTTTTGTAATCTCCTCTCTGTGTGGATTCCCCATACTCAGGCCTGTGAAATTTGATTTTCTCCTGTTATTTTGTCTCCTGTCAATCTGACGCTAAGTCCAGCTAGGACAATAAGGCAGAGGAAAGTCTTCCTTCCTGACAGAATCTTTAAAACAAAATTAAAATTGTAGAATTGTATTAATGTTTTCTCCACACCAAACTATATTAATTTAACAGTTTTTATTTTAAGCTGACAGGTTGTTCTCTTCAGCTAGTTGAAGTACCTCAAGGCAGTAATAAGACTCTGGCCTCCTTCTGCGACAAAGTAAAAACGTGAGTGTTGCTATTTCATTAAACTTTGAAATTTCTGTACCAGCATAAATTTGTCTATTTTAATTTAACATCACTGATTAATTTTGAATGTAAAATGTTAAAGTTTTTAAATAATTTTTAATATAATGAAAAATGTAAATTTGTGACAAATTAGTTCATTAACTTCTGGTATTGTTTTTGTTGTTTTTAGTCAAATAATTTTATTCTCTTGAAAATTTAGTTAAAGCTAAATGTTTCATAATTTCATACCTGCCCTTGCTATCTATTGATCATTTAGTCAGCAGTGAATTAATTTCTCATTTAATGACATAACTGACTGACTTCTCTGGTTCTGTCGCAAAATAGCATAGATTTATCCTTCTTACTTGGGATATACTATTTAAAATGGTGAGAGTGTCCTCCTCTTAATAATTTAATCTTATCTCGAATGAACTGCCAAAATAAATGAGCAAATGCATGGGTGTTTGTCCACTGAAAAACAAATTTGTTCACTAGGGGATATTACAAAAACATCACTGATCCTCTTTTTGCCCATTTAAAATGAACTTATAAATATAGATGTCTTTTTTTAAGACCAGTTTCTCATTAGCAGTTAAAATTTATATAACACCATCTCTTCTATTGCTAAGGTTCCTGAAAATTTTGAAAAATTTATGCATTTACATTTTGTTCTCTTGATTTTTATCTATTTATAGCTGTTTTAAAAATAATAAATACACATATAAATGAACTACAATTTATTTATCAGCTATAGCAGCTTACTACTAAATGATAGTTCAGGATTAAAGACTGGAATCATTTATTTAATCATTAATTTAAAAGGTTATTGGAAAGCCTAATAACTAGTCCGTGTATGAGAGATATTCAAATGTAGAACAAACAGAAAAGCAAGGTCTCTGCCCTAAAAAACTTGTAACCCTATTGGAAGAATTGAAAGGCACACAGATAAAAAACAAAAAACAAACAAATAAATAAACCAAGGACCTCAAATCCCTGAAAATATTTAATATTTAATTAATGTCTCACTTGTTCACAGAAAAAAATTAAAATGACTCTTTGGATATCTAAATTAGGATCTTTAAAGATATCAATATTGATTCTTTTAAGAATAAACTACTCACTGTCAAAAATTGACAAGCACTGCCAGGAACTTTACACTTTAAATCTAAGATGTGATCATTTCTACCCTCTAAGCATGAGAAAAAGCTCTCTTAATATCACAAGATATCACTCGGTATAAATCCATTGATAAAACACTTATTACTAGAACTTCCCATCACTTTTTTTTTAACATAATGTAATATTCTTAGATGTAATCTTTGTGGATGCAATAGTGACACAAAATATTTTACGTAATGGTTTGTCAGTAGCTCATGGTGCATTTTCTGAATTTTTAAATGTAATTTTTCTCAATGGTTCTTTTCAAAGTAACCATGAAAACTAAAACAGACAAACAATAATAAACTTTATAGAGTAGTGAAAGGAAGATATAGGTTATATTCACACACACTTGCTTTTCAATAATCTTTTTTGATGTATATTCATATATAAAATAAATTTATAAATGCATAATTATTTTGTACACAAACACACTATTCATTCAACAGCAACTATTTCTGAGGATCTGTGTACTAGGCACTGTCCAAGGCTCTTAATTCAAAAGAAGATCAAATTGAGTTTGAAAGCCAAATTTCATAAGAGGGTCACAATAGAATGGATTAATGTATCCAATTTCATCTGGTTTTTTGTCTAATATTTAAATAACCATACCTAAAAGTGTTATTGATATTTCTGTCATACACCCTTTAAAGAAGCTATCTAATTTGCTGGATTTGGTTTCTTGTTGTGACATATTTTTAAGCCACATCTTTCAAGGAATGTGTCATACTTTTGTTAAAAATGTAATAAAATGGCATAGCATATGAAAAGTTTTGAATACAGTAGACACTCAACAAAATTTTAGGAGAGAATAGGTCATTAATTTGCATTTTAAATTTAATTCCCCCAAACAGTAGAAGCTTAAATCATGTATGCATGGAGTAGTATCCTATCATACGGTGAATGATAAATCATAAAGCCCCTCAACCAGAACTGGAGTCTAGACTTTTATCGTAGGTATAACAAAGGAGAGTGGCCCAAATCTTTATCCTAAACAATGGGTTCTCAAACTGTAGTTCTGGAGTAGCAGCAGTAATGGCTTACTTGGGAAGCTGTTAGTAGGGAGAATGTGAAGATCCCTACATAGAGCTATAGAATCAGCAAGGATGAGGATGGGACTCAGAAAATAAGGTGATTCTGATGCATGCCATGCACTTTTCATTTGTCAGGCCCCTCAAGGAGGGGACGTTTCTGTACAATTTAAGGGCATAGAGATTATGCCCTTCAGTGAGCCTGGCACTACTTTAATGCTGCACAAATAGAATGAATGCCAAGGATGTAATTCATATCGATACATTACATAGAATGCATAGTATACTACACAAAACATATAACTTTCTCTTTGGGACTAGCACTACAAAATTTAGATGTCTGCATAATTAACAGCAACAACAACAACAACAACAAAAAAAACCCATGATTTCATATTCATCATCAAAGGCATTTTAAAACATCTAAGTTGCAAATAATTTTATGTTATATTCTACATGTGGGCAATAACATGGATCGACAAGGATTCAGCTATAATAATATATAATGATAATTATGGTACATCATATGGGTATATGCTTACATTCTACAAGAATCTTTTGCATGCCTTTTCACTTTTAATCCTTGCAATGAACCTTCGAAGTAGATACAAATATTTCATTTGTACAAACAAAGAACTGGTCAAATAACTTGCCTCTGACCATAAAACTACTAATTGGAAGAATCAGGATTCAAGCTCAAGGCTTCTGGCTCCAAGGATAAACTATTTTGCAATTCTCTGACTCATTTGAGCAATAAAGACTTGTTCAGTGTGTACAAATGACTTCTGGGCTAAATTACTTACGCAAAATCCAGAGATTTGTGTAAAATCCAAAAATTTACAGCCAAGAACGGTATTTACCAATTGGACAAAGGTAATTTATTTTAAAAAATCCTTAAATCAAAATGGGTGACTTCCAGCTTGAGAAATTTATCAAAAACCAAGGGGAGGCATTTAGGCTTGGAAAGTAATGTCAGTGAAGGAAGTAATCATTGTTCAGAGTGAATTTTCATGCCTAATGAATGACAATGTAGTCTTAATTGCTTCAAATGAGATGCTCCTGGGGAAATCTAAAGAATGGTCCTTTACAGTTGTTTTGGTATAATTGTAATCTTTACCAGTCTGGCCTCGCTAACAGCACTGTACCACAAATCAGCTACTGATTGTTTTCATATTTTAAATCTTCTACAGCAAAACTGTGCATGAAATTTCTTATAATCTTCTCCTAAGTATTATTTTCCATATATTTTTCAGAATAAGAGAAACGTATCATGCAGCTGACATTAATTCCAATTCAGGGAAGATCTGGAGCACTACTACAGCATTTCCCTATCAGCTCTTTTCTAATACTAAGTTTAACATAAATATTTGTATTGATAACTCAACACAACTACTTCATTTTATGCCATATGGTAAGCAACCTTGCAAATAAGTATAAAAATCTACATAAAGCTGGTATAGGCTGCATAGCCTTGAGTCCACAGACTGAAAGCATTACAAGAAATGTTATTAAATGCTAGTATTTTGCCCTGAAGTGAAGTTAAGAGGAAAACAGCTGGAAACCTCTTGTTAACATTTGTTTAGCTATTGTTTTTCAGAACTCTCTTCACATAGCTCACCCCAGGACACTTTACTTTCCTGCTATAAAAGAGTTGATGGCAAGTATAATAAATTTTTAGCATATTAAAAACAAAACCTAATTTCAAAAAGATTATAAAGCATATGGATGAATATGAATGAATATACATGTATGAAAATGGCAATACTACCCATTAGAAACAACTATGTCATTCAAATGTGAATAAATTATGACATAAAACAGGCAACTATACATAGTCTTTATTCCTACTGTACAAACTATAGGAGCCTTATGCAATAGGTCCATTGAATCAGTCTCTGGGGATGGATCCTGGAACCTGGAATCTGCATTTTATCAAACTCATCAGATGATTCTTATTTTTCTAAAGTTTTAGAATTTCTTTAAAGTTGTCTAATATTTTATTTCACTGTTATTGTCAACTATTTTGCAAAACAATAATAGTTCTTCAAACATTAGTTGTTACTAAATGAGTTTCTGCCTATGAACTGTTTTTTCTTGACAAATAATGAGCCAACAAATATTTTCTTTCATCGATTGTTATTAACATAATTATTATTTTGATTTTTTCTTTCTTACTCTAGTCAAGATTCTGAGTTAGTGCAGATGGCTACAAACATAACAATGTTATGTTGGAATATTTAGTTAGGACCATCTGGTTTGAAACTAACAAAAACCAACTCCTGCTGCCTTAAGAAAAAAACACTCTTAAAGAATATAGAGATTTCTTACAGAATTTAAGAGTAAGAATTCAGCAGATTCAGGAATGTACTAAAGGCACAGATGAAATAAGCAGTCCAAAATTCCTGTATGCATCTCACCTCATCTCTTCTACATATCTATTTCTTAGGTTTCCCTTGCTTTCTGCTGACTTATTTCCCTTGCTTTTCCAGAACACATGGAAAGCCAAGCTCTCAAGCTTAAATGCTATTTGGCCAGCTCCCTAAAGAAAATTCAGCCTCTCTATTAGATCTAATTCCAAATTTCTAAAAGCAGGATTCTGATTGCCAAGCCAAAATCAGTGGTGTTGAACCCTGAGCCAATCACAATCTCTGTCATATTGGCCTCAGTTGCTGGAGAAGAGGGAATAACCATGAACCAGGGAGACCACTTCTCTTCTTCCAGTTTAAAATATTTAATTTCCAACATCTCTCCCTCTCTCTCTGGATGTTCTTTTGTTGAATGTGGCAAGTTGGAGGTCATTTTTTACTTTTATGAGAAGTTTCAGAAAATTGATGAGGTCATTGTGTCTAGTGTTTGAGATGTATAGCAGTAAAGAGGATGTCTGCTCTCAAGCATATTAAAAATGTTTAGGAGAAGGAGGAAGTGGAGGTGGAGGAAGGGGTGAAGTACAGAGGAAGAAGGAGAATGAAGCAGAGGAGAAAGGACATGTTCAAGAAAACACACAGAGCTGCACATGCCACTGTTGGGAGGAAAACCTTTCCTCTATCCACTTATATTTGAAGGGGGTGGGGTGGTGGCTGTGACTTAGCTGACAATAGATTAGTAGGAGAAAAGGCAAAGTTATTTACACATGCACGCAGGGGTTACTTGCTGAATACCCAGAGGTAAAGGTTTATATACCAATTTAATATAAAAGTATATGTGTGTGTGTGCAGGGGGTGTCACCTGGAGCTTCAGTAGGAAAATAGGAACTATATATATGTATTCATGATAGTGGATGGGCAGTCTGTCTCCTTCCTGGAATTTGCAGGAAATTCCCTCCGAAGGAAGTTAATGGAAGCTGTATTAGGGAGTCTCTGCTTTAGTCAGATAAAGAAAGTTCAGATAAGATTTTCAAATATTTTCACTTTGAAATAATCTTTACGCCAAAACCGTAATCCTTTCACCACTTTATATAAGTGTTTTACTAGTAAATACAGATGTGCTATAAAGAACAAAATAGTGTATCTGAAGAATATATCAAGAATGACTTCAACAAAAAATAGAAGCTGTTCCTAGAAATTTAGGGAATAATGAAATCTAGATAAATAAAGAGGAGGAGATGGGTGAGGATAAGGCATTTTCATCCAAAGAGAACAGTTTCCCCAAGAGTGAGGAAATGGAATCCTTTAGAGAGTTACGTTTTTTGAGCAAAGAATTCTGCGTTCCATAATCTTCAATTATCACTTCAGTGAAGATGATTCCCTTGTCCTTATTTCCAAGTACAAAATTGCTCTAGAGTGTCTTTCCTTTCAGATTTAGATGATTCATGGTTAGAACTGTATTAGGAGGCCATTTGTGACCTGCCAAGTGTTGGAAGTAGAAGTCAGTTTGCAGAGATTAAAGAGTGATTGAGAATGGTTTACAGACGTTATCTACTTTTTAAAGAAGTTTGGCAGTAATGAGAAGGTTAAAAAAATATTATCTTAATGGAATGAAATGGATGACGGGAGATTTTATTGGAATATTAAACAGAAACAGAAATTTTAAGAAAAAACAAAAGCATCTTTGGAGTGGAGAATATTGAATATATAAAAGAAAAGGAACTTAATTGATGGAAATGGAACCTAGTATAAGAAAAACAGAAATTAAGAAGTAAGATATAGCAAAAAGCAATGATTCTTATATCTCAAAAGATGGGTAAAGAGGTAGAGGATGATGTGCAAAAAACTAGAGAGCCAAATTAATTAAAATGAACTGGTGTTTCTGGGGATATTTTCCTACCATCATATACTGGCAATATTCTCCCTTCCTTGTCAGAGCCCTTACAGTCATGATTTTGCTGTAGCCATATTTTCTTCTAGCTTCCAACACCATTTCAATCATTATTCCCAAGCAACAGAGTATTTAAGATACTCTCTACCATGTCAAACCATTAACACAATCCTTAATTCCATGATGATATTTACCATTTTTTCTCTGACCATTTCTTAGAAAATACCTTGATCTACCAAAAAACCCACATTTTAAAATCCAGCATTATTCTCTTCCCCCATTTTTTTTGTGGCAGGTCCTGCAATGTCAGTTGCACTACATTTTGTTAGCCAGTTTGTGTCAAAAACCTTTTCTTCCAAACAAAAAAGTATGGACGTAAAAGAAGTTATAGCAAAATAAAGACATAATTGCAAATTAAACACAACTCAGATGAATACAATTGAGAGTTTGCAGTATGCTGTTCAAATTCCCACTGGTTGGGGGTGATAAGTACAGTCTGTTTGCACTTGCTTCATTGATTGAGACCATGAGATCACACTCAAAGCATGGAGAGAGATATATATATACAATTTTCAACAATCATCATTTATGGTTATAAATGACCCCTGTACTAGTTGTCATTTATAATTAGGAAAATATTTAATAGGCAAATATTACTGTAGCAAGTCAGTATGGTTCTGGCCACTATTAAATGGCATACGTATGTAAGAGCTTAGTGCGGAGATTATGGAATGTAAAGACAAAGGAATTTACCTTATAGTATGCTTACATTTTGAGCTCATAGAAGGTAGGAAAAAAAAGCACATGTTCATTAAAGTTATTATAATGCTGTCCAAGATGGAAACTTGAGTGATTCCCACATGGGAAAGGAAGAACAATAAGCTTGGAGACTTAGAATCATTGACAGCACAGGCTTTGGAATCTGACAGATTTAGGTTAGACTCTTGACTTGCCACTTATCACTCACTGAATCTCCTAAGTCCCTATGAGTAACCACAATAGAATACTTTTTAAAAAAAAAAAATTTATTTACTTATTTGAGAGAGAGAATGAGAGAGAGAGGCAAGAGACGGAGAGGGGCAGAGGGACAAGCAGACTCCCCTCTGAGCAGCCCAATGCAGGGTTTGATCTCAGGACCCGAGAGATCACAACCTGAGCTGAAATCAGACCCTTAACCGACTGAGCCACCCAGCTGCCCTCACAGAATACTTTTTTATGCAGAGCCACAATGTATTAAGATTTTAACATGAGGAATACAATATCTAGCTCTGTCAGTAATATGAAGACAGACTGATTAAAGAAAATGCAAAGAATTGTTTTTCAAAGTATCTCCAAATTTAACCAGACTAATAAATGAGATGCATCTCATTTTAACTCCTCTTGATGGAGCTAGACAGTTACAATAGTTCATAATGTATATATCTTTTTTTGTGCTCAAAACTTTTATCCCAGCCAATATATGATAAGCTCTTATTAACTTTTTATTATTCACCTTTGTTTTTAGCTAATTATCTTGTCAAAGACCTAACAGCAGAGATTCTACATTTTTGTACAAATGACCAGTTATTCCCCAAAGATCATCTTCTAAGTATATGTGGCTCTGAAGAATTTTTGCAGAAGTAAGTATCTTATTAAGGTAAAATTTGATCATTGTTATAACCTATGCTAAGGCAGTGCTCGCTTCTGCAGCACATATAATAACCTATGCTAAGGCATACTTCATTTTTTTCTTTTAAACATACTTTGTACAAACACCATACTCTTATAACCAACATAATTAAATCAATTTTGCCCTTTTTAAGGTGAATTCAAAACTTTATGACTCATGGCGACAGTCTCATTTTTGGTTTTTTTAGTATTCTGTGTATTTATGGTAACATGTATTTAAGTGACCTCTGACCAGGAGGGTGATATTCTCAGGACATGGAAATTTCAGTTTTGAAACCAAGAAAATCCTGAGCAAAACAAGTCACTGTAATAAAGCTTATTAGAACTGATCACAATTTTTTAAAAGTAACAAATTATTTTGTAATAAGTAATTTTTGATTTGGAATAATATTAGTATGCTGATTAAATGCTGATTTTTAAAAATCACAGAGGGTTTCAGTATGAGCATTATAACATTTTCATAAAAGAGTAACCTTCATTTCTTTAGTCAGGCAGCTCTTATCACAATTAGAAAAGTCTAGATAGGTCAACTGCAAATACTTATTTGATAGAAAACTCACTTTCTCTTATTATATCACAATTATGACTATTCTGAAATTTCTTAAAGACCAACCTTGAAAATATAATACAATTTTAAGAAAGGAGATATTCCTCTGCTTCGTCTGCAGTTATTCTAGACAGTAAAGTCATAAACTAAAGTAGTCAATGAAGTGAATTGTCATTTACATTTTTCCTTTGTGTTTCCACAAGTGTCTAAAGAATGACAACAGTCTCATGGAAGTCAAAGTGTATTTTGTTTCAGATACTCATTGTCACTGTCATTATTATTCCATCATAAATGTATGTGAAAATTTGATGAATTTAACAATATTATCAGCAAATCCAGTCCTGTATTGTGTGCAATGTTAACTGTGAGTGACTTTTAAGACTGAATATTTCCCTTTTTGTAATCCCAGTTATAACAAAATAATAATATTTATATGAAATCACAGATGTTTTTGTACTGAACTCACGGATACCCCCCTTCTCTCTTATCTATTTGAACCTGTTAACATACCCAATGACTAGGCTGCTACCTTCTTCCAACATATGGTTTTTGAAAGTATATCCAAAGAGCAAGGAGAAATACTTGAGAAATGTAACCTTACACTGGAATACTCATTAAAATTCATCTTCTGAATGTATATGTCTCCAAATGTACATCCAGACTTTGGCTAATGTCAAACATTAGATACAAAAAATTAGAGACATTATTAAAATTATGTATTTAGTATTATCAGTACGAAATATCATCCCACAAGCAAAAGTGTTAAAGAGATAGAAATTTGGAAGAGTATAATGTGCACAAATTTATAATGGACCTTGTCTTAATTGCTGTTTCAAATGTGTAAGTCATCCATAATTAGCTCAACTGTTGACTGGTAAAAATGTATATATCATTTTGTTCTTTTTTCTTATTAATATGAACATAATAGATTTCTAAAATATTTTATAGTCATTTGTTTCTAACAAAATTTCATTTACCTGGGTTTTTATTAAGATAGTAAAGTTACAAGTATTAGTATAGATTAATTATAGTCATTTTTCCCTACTGGAATTTGAAAGATATGTATATATCAGGGATTTACTTACTATTTAAGATTAACATCCTATGTGTTTGGTATGACTTTTTAAAATAACATAACATTCATTATCATTCTTTCTAACATCTAAATCATTCAGTTTTGTTTTTTTGTTTGTTTATTCTCTTGCAATTTGTCTAGAAAAATATGTCCTAGGGGCTCCTGGGTGGCTCAGCTGGTTCTCTCTCTACTTATCCCTAGCTCTTTCTCTCCTTCTGTGCCTCCTCTCTCACTCTCTCTCTCTCTCTCTCAAAAAAAAAAATAATAATAAAAATAAATAAAAAACCATGTCCTTAAACACTTGGAAATCTTCATAATGTTCTTCTATAGAGGGAACACAGGTAACACATAATAAAGTTAATAATGTAATAGGTAATAATTTAGACTCAACAGTTATAGTACTATGTCTGGAGTATTTGACTAGCTTTGACTGTAATAATAATAACCATTCATCAAGTGCTTGTTATTTGGTTACCTCCTATTGGGTAGACTTCTAAGTCTTATGACATTATCAGTATGTTAGATACTGTAATTACCCTTGTTTTACAGACAGGAAGTCTGAGGCTTTGTTTAAGATCACAGTTTAAGCTGGTAGAGTGAAGCCTGAATTCAAACCTGGATTTGGCTGTTTGCCCTGGGTCTGAACTATGAAACAATAGTGCAAAAGCTCTTGAAGGATATACAAGAAATAGTAAATAGGTTCTTCATGCTGGAGCACAGGGTGAAAAATATGTGTAGTTTCTTAGGTGTCTGCAGGAATGGGGTGCAGAGATTGTATTAGTCTACTTCAACTCCTATTGAAAACTGCACACATATAAGACATTTGGTTAATCACTGAGAATACAAAGGTAAGTTATATATAATCTTTGCCCCATCCCTTGCCTAAAAATTCATAAAGCCCTGTAATGCCCAATCATGTGGACAGTATTAGCATTATTATAATCCAAATGCTTGTAGATCACAGAGGGATTAATGGCAAGAATATGGAAACAGTGCAAAGAAAAGTCAAGGATAAACTTGTATTTAAAGAATAAATACTGAGGAAAAAAATCAGTACCATGTGATAAAATGTTAATGGCCTTAGAATATATAAAATACACTTAAATTTTGTTCTTAAAAAATAATTACCAAGAAAAAACAGGCTAAGAATGTGAGTAGCATGAATAGAAATTCAATGGACAATAAATTATTTAAATAATTTAATAACAAACATCCAATTAAAACAATGAGATACCATTTTTGCCCATCAAATTCTTAAAATACTTATGATGAAATTCAGTTGGAAATGGACAATATATAAACAGCTGCTAGAAATATATATTGATATAGCACTTACTGAAGAGAATTTTGTCAAACATGTTAAAGGTCTGTAGAAACGTGTCTAAAACTGATAGATCATCTGTGTTTCAGCAATTCTGCTTCATTGAATATTTCTAAGTAACAATCATAATAATACAAAAAGACTTAGTTATAAAGGATATTTACCATAACATAATTTCTAGTATTAACAATAAGAAGAACAAAAACTGGGAAAAAACTAAATATCCAATAGTACTCCGAAATAGAGGTAAGATAGGTCATGAACATAATTTTATTATAAAATGACATAGAATTTATAAATTATTAAAAATATAGCATCATGTCTTAAAATAAAAACATGCATCATAGTTTTTAAGGATGAAAAGGTATCTTTTCAAATCATGTTTAAATATATTAATTTTTGTTAAAACAAGTGTATTTCTATTCAGAAAGTAAGAAGAAATCTTTTTTTAAAAAAAGATTTTATTTATTCATTTGAGAGGGAGTTAGAGTGAGAGAGAGAGCGCACCGGAGCACAAGCCTGGGGGGAAGGGGGGAGAGGCAGATGCCCCGCTGAGCAGGGAGCCCAATGCAGGGCTCTATCCCAGGACCCCGGGATCATGATCCCAGCAGAAGGCAGACACTCAACGGACCGAGCCACCCAGGTGCCCCAAAAAGAAGTCTTATACACTAAAATGTTAAAGTAGTTGATTTCACCTTAAAAAAGGACTACAATACAAATGATATTTATTTATTTCATTTTAATTTACAAAACTCCGATAAACCTGCCTTTTTGCTATCAAGAGATTAAGGAAATAAATAATTAGTCATGGAGATGAAAATAATAACAGTAAAACAACAGCAAAATCTACTTCCCTTATTAAAAGTCTTTAATGGACTAGAATTTTCACACGTAGTACCATTCATTCTCATATAAGAAAAGCATTATCTCCATTTTGCAGATGGGAAATTTGAGGGTAGGAGAAAATAATAACTTATAATAATAAAATAACAAAATAATAAGGTTACAAAATTTGGAAGCAACAAAGTCAGGATAGCACAAGTTTATCTGGCTCTGAAGCCCAAATCTTTCTAATATATAACAAAGTCTCCTTCATAATAAAGGGCCACTTGAAAATAAAAATTATAGGGATAATGTTTCATTGGGGAAAATGACCAGTTACTTGGGTTGTAAACATGGGTTTATAATTCAGCACACAGCATTTAGGTCAAACACAAGGAAATCATAACTTGTAGAACACTCATTTTCTGACATATTTAAATTTTTAACAATTTTAACCGGAAAACATTTAGAAATGATTTGACTAAAACAAAGGTAAATCATAATCACTAAAGGTGAGCTTGTTAAATTTCTGATTAGACAAAAATTTTCTTTTTGGAATTTTGAGACTCTTTAAGCAATAAATATTATCAAAACAAATTTTGCCCACTATTGATAATGCTACTCTATTACTGTTGCTTTGGCAAAATGAGTTTAACTTCCTTTAACTTCAATTTCTTTATCTTTTAAAAAAATTATTTTTAATGTATTGTTCTATTTTACAAATGAGCCATAGGATTACATTTAGTAATCTTTAATTCCAAATGTAAGAATTTTATTAAGCCTCTACTAATCTTTTCAGGGTGTATGGATTGCTTTGAGCTCCAGAGAAGTGTAGGTATAAGTAAAAAATATTATGTGGTTGTTCAGATACAGTGAACTTCAAAGTAGAGAAGCATTCTCTCTTCCCCTGCCCCAACAAAAAAGCACTATTATTTTTGTGGGATGATTTAGAAATTTTTTTTTCATTTTAAATTCTCCTTATGTTATCAGAACTATGCTTTTCAATCTGTTCTGCATTATGAAGATAGAGATAAATTATATTTAGTTGCTACTTTTGCCATTTCTCATCTATTTTAGACTAGGTAAGGGCAAATCCTTAAAATGTAAACTCCTTGGTTTCTTCCAGTCAGTATATTTGTCTGACTATTCTAAGACTTTTTGTCATCACAATTAAAATGTCAGTGGT